ACCTTTAAGCATTTTGTGAATAAATACTATTTGTTTGAAAGCTTTCCTCTATTTAAAATTATTTTGTTTCTGTTGTGGTTGAATTGGAAGGCTGTGATCCTATGCTTATTGAAGAACACAATTTAACAGCAATGGCCATTCCTTCAGGTAGCAGTTGACTGCACCATCATGGAACCCTCTAACTAATCCCCAGGTGCCTTCAACTCTTTGGCTGTTTAATCCAGAATATCTGGGAGCAGCAAAATGGTAATAATGCTGCATTAAGGAACTGCAGTACAGATAAGTTGCTTGGAAAATGGCAATTCATTAGATGAAGCCACTGAAATACTCAAAGCAACCCTTTCTGCCCTGGGGAAGAAGAGCGGGTGGGCTAGCTTTCTGAGACCCTCTCAAGCTGCTCTTGTTTTGTTTTTTTTTAACGTCCAGCAATTGGTGTCTGTTCTTGAACTGTAGTCCTAGTCAAAAATGAAGTTCAGCCAGCTTTACTGAGTTAGGGTTCCCTTTAGTGGTGCTGTTGGAGCTAAGAGAGCAGGGAAGCAATGGCAGCAGTCACTTGAGCTGCAGCAATGCCTAGAGTTTTGTTAACATTTTGTCTTGCATTTAAGGAAGATTTCACTCTAGACTTGCAGAAGTCCTCTGTCAGACAGGACTCGGTTAAGAGTTGTTGTTGAGGAAGAATTTTGGCTGACTTCAGGATTTCGGCCGTCTACAAGTGATGTACACTCATTACAGTAATAAATTCCATTCCTATTCAAAAGAGCATTGGCATGTGACTTAAATCAGAAAGTAAAGAAGCATCTGCTATTGCAGTGGCAAAAATACGAAAGGATAAGGTACTTCTTGTAACTATTAAGATGTAAAGATATAGTGGAATCAGAGACTAGTGGAAATAGTGGACTCAAACATAGTTGAAAGTGACCTTTGGAAGTCATGTGGTCTAGCCTCCTGCTTGAAGCTGTCCAGTCAAAGTCTGAGTATCTCCAAGAACAGAGGCTCTGGGCAGCCTGTGTTTGCCCCAGTGTTTGGCAACACCACTCTCATGCTGATGCCTAGTTGGAATTTCCTGAGTTGCAGCTTGTATCCTTTGCATCTCATCCTGTTTCATGAGTAGCTCAGCTATTGATGCTAGTGACTTGAGTGTTTTTCAGTAACATGAGAAAAAGAGGGGAGAAGAAATGTTACTTCAGTGAAATTACTTCAGTGCAGAAAGTGTGGTTAAAAGGGCGTCATGCTCAAGTATTCTCATATTTGAGCCTGTCAAATTTTGAAAGGCTTTATGTGAAAATATTTACTAGAAATGGTTATAAATTTTACATTGAAAATGGCAAATGACATGTGTCGGGGTCCGATTGGAGGAAAACCCCAGTGCTGGACCTTGTTTCAGCTCATGATCCCAAGAGTGAAATTAAGATACAAATGAGGTCAAGTACCGTAATCGAACAATTTATTTTACAAAAAGAGTTATTATAAAAAAAGAGAAATTATTGTAATAAAGGGTTAGCAATAGGACAGATTGAAAAAAAGGCAGAGAATGAAGTAAGAATTTGGGGTGCAGAGAGAGAGAGAGAGTCACCACCATGAATCCAGTGGTGTTCAGGGATCTGGTGGTGGTGGTGGTGGGAGTTCTTCAGGGTTTGTAGTCAGTATCAGAGCAGAGTGTCCCCCAAGAGTTGTTGGTGAGTATCGTCATGGAGGCATCCCTCTGGAGTCCCCTTGAAGGTACCCCATGGAGTGTGTCTCATTGAGTTGCCCTTATGGTGATGTCTCATGGAAGGTGTCCCTCAAGGTCTGTAGCAGTCATCGGTGGCGAGTGTCCTCACAGAAGTGTCCTTCTGGAGTAATCCTCATGGCCATGGCTCCTTGGTGATGTCCCTCTTGGTGCTGTATCTCTTGGGGATTACCTTTCTTTCTCCTTTTGTAAAGAGTTGAGGGTTGAGTACCTCTGCTCTTCATGTCACATATTACATGTTCCTGGTGGACCAATTTCCCTGGTCCTGCAGCCAGCTCTTTGACACACATGTGTCTGCAGCAGCTCTTGGGGTAATAGCTCACACCAATCCTCAAAGTAATGGACGGAAGAGTCTTAGCTCTTTCCCACTCATCCCTCAGGCGATGGATGGTGAAGTCCCAGTTCAGGTCCTCACGCCCTTCTCCCAAGCAATGGATGGAAGAGTCTTATCTCAACTCCTCCCTCCCATCTCTGAGACAAACGATAGGTGGATTTCCATCTCAGCTTCTCAGACCAATCTTTGAGACAATAGACAGTGAAATCTGATTTTGAATCAGTCTCTCACAGCATGGTAAGATTATTGTAGGGAACAGGATACTTGGTTTGGAATCATAAAGTTTAGATAGTGCTGCTTCCACTATTGTACAGCCTGTTACACTTCCTGACCTGTTTAGGCAGGGTGATACCGTCCTCATACTGATATTTCAGGTTAGAACTAAAATTCTAGGGCTTATTATTATACAAAGACTTAGATGAAAAATGCTCTTCTAAAGGTAGAACAGGAAGAATCACTTCTGGTCATCTTCAGTTTACACTTCCAGTTTTGTATCTGGTTTTCTGCAGTATGCTGTCACTTGCCTTATATGGCAATTGTTATTTCAGGAAAGTTGGGGTACTTACAGAATCATATAATGGTTAGGGTTGGATGGGACCTTAAAGCTCATCTAGTTCCAGCACCCCTGCCCTGGTCAGGGATACCTTCCACTAGACCAGGTTGCTCAAAGCCCCATCAAAAATAAAATTCAAGTCTCTCCAGTTTAGAAAAAAGGATGTCATGCAGGACAGTGTCCAATGCATTGCACAAGTTCAGGTAGATGTCACTTGCTCATCTCTTATCCACCAATACTGTAACCCCATTGTAGAAGGCCACCTACCAAATTTGTCAGGCACGATCTGCCATTAGTGAAGCCATATTTGCTGTCACAGATCACCTCGTTGTTGTCCATGTGTCTTAGCGTAGTTTTTCGTGGGATATGATGCATGATCTTGCCAGTCACAGAGATGGGAATGACTGGCCTGTAGTTCCCCGGCACTTCCTTTCTTTCACTTTTCAAAAATGAGAGTTGTTTCCTCTTTTTCAGTCCATGTGACGGTGGACTGCGACAGCTCATCAAATATGATGGTTAATGGTTTAGCAACTTCATCTGCAAGTTCCCTCAGAACCACGGATACATCTCAGCAGGTTCCATGGACTTGTGCACCATCAGGTTGCTTAGATGGTCTCAAACCTGATCTTCTCCTACAGCAGGTGGTTCTCCATGCAACCAGTCCATGCATTTGCCTTCTGCAGCTTGGGCAGTGTGGCTGGTTGCCTGTGAAGACTGCGACAAAAAACTCTGCTATTTATTTCCAAGTGGTCAAATACTAACCTATTGTGCTAATGGTAAAAGGCCAGTGTCAGTTAATAGAGTATGATACTTGAGAGTTGAGGAATGCCTTCCTATATTTGGCATTTGTTAAATTAACATTTGTAAGCATGTTTCTTTCCAGAACAAAAGCTACCAAGTGGTTGTTGTTGCATCTGTGCCCTTTGCTCTTTCAAGTACTTATTCCTGGCTGCTTTATGCCTACTTATGTTCTGCAGTCTCTGGCTCTAATCAGCAGGGCATAGCCCTCTATTTTGATGTGTTTTCAAATCCTCTCTTAGATTGTGAAGTGATTTAATGATGTAGATTACATAGCTCAGGATGGCTGCTTAGTTAAAACAGGTGTAGGTCTGGCCAGCCTTACAATGAGTGCTTTGCCACAGAGATCATTTTCAGGGTAAGTGATGGGTTATTGCTCCTGTAGTAGCAGAAACAGAATAAATGGCTTATCTTGCTCTGAGCTTGCTGCAGGTATAGAGAAAACAAATTAAGCTTCCATCAGGTTTTGGTGAAACTGTTACAGCTTTCCCCCTTTGTCCTTGAACAAAGCTAAATATTCCTTCCCTTTTCCTGATAGTATTTTTTTTTTCTCCATCACTAACAGGTATATATAAGGGTTTGTTTGTTTGGGGTTTTTATAATTATTCTAATTAGCTATGTTCTTTGCCTAATTTCTTTCTCATTTTCTTAAACTTTTCGTGGAAATGCAGACCTTTCATAGTGATTATTTCATTGTTATTCTTGCTTTCTTTTTTTCAGTTACCTTTTGCCTGGCATTTAATTGATGCACAGGTTGAAAGTCACTGTGTTTGAGACCCGCATCCTCAACCCCAGAACAGCTGTGTCAACAAAAATCTGTGCTGTGCATATGACCTTGTAGTTGATTTAAGTAAGCATGTGAACATATAACTGGAGTTGATAATTTCTAGCTAGCCAAAAGGCACCAATTCTTGTCTAAAAGACTGATAATGCTCTGTTGCCTATGTAGGCACAGATGTTAGTCTCATTTTATATTGTGTGTAAGCATTTAATACTTACACATTTTGTGTGTAAGCATTTAATACTTACACATTTTGTGTGTAAGTATTGGTATTGTGTACCTGAACTTGCAAAGCTGTATCGGAAGTTCTCGTTGTGCTAACAGCAGTGAAAGTACAACAGTGTGGGGTCGTCAAGTCAATGAATTTCCGAGATGCTGGGTTTAGGTAGTCTGTTGCTGAGGAACTGTGGTGCTGTGCCTAGCTTACATTTCATTTGCATTACCCAGGCTGGTTTTAGTCTGCATCTATGCATGCTTGCTGCAGTTATATGGTGAATTTAGTGCAGATGAAGTGTAGCAAAAGGGGTTCTGTTTTCTGCTAGTGTTTGGTGGTTTTCTGCTCCTTCCCAGTCAATGCTGATAACTCACATATTCAGTTTGTTGTAAACCTAGTCTAAGGTTATAAGTGAGTCCTTAGTCCAAAATTAGAAAAATAATTTTAAGTATACAAGGTATACTACAGTTTGTAGTCTTTTTATAATTGTCTGTAGTGAAATACACACCTTTCTCCATCTCTTACTAAAAGATGCATAAGTATAGAAAGACGGATTGAGACTTAAGTAACAAGTGAAACCATGTTTTTTAGGACTGTTCTACAGAAAATGTAAGCTGGTTTCTAAGACGGAAGTTACCCATGACACCAAGCTCTTCTGCTTACTGTTGCCTGAGAGCACACATCTCCGTGTTCCCACTGGACAACATGTTTACCTCAAACAAATCATTGCAGGTAAGAAAAATTAAGAATGTAACAATGTGTATGTTAACAAATCCCTTTTTGTAATCTTGGGAGAATGCAAAGTCCATGGCAACTGATTCCCTGGTTGTAGTAAGAAAGTCTCTGCTTCCAGGATCACAGTCAGTGCTTAGTAATGAACAGACTGGATTAATACTGCTGGAAAGATAACTGTTAAAGTGGATGGTACTTACTTGACCTTACCAGCTCTTCTTTCAACTCCCTTTAATACAATTTCTCTGCTGAAGTAGTGCTGTTCAGATTTGGTGGGCAGGGGGAAGCTCATCGTATATGTGTTATATACAATTATCCAGTTCCTTTCAGTTTACAGCCTTTTTGGCATGTGGAGGGTAATGTTGCAATTTTGCCCCCCCCCCCCCCCCTTTTTTTTTTTTTCAGAGGTATTTATAGTAGTCCTGGTAACATTGCTTTACAATCCTGCTGTATATTAGCCGTAACATGAGGTTGTGAGAAAAATGCGTCTTGAAAAAGCATTGTTTAAGTGTTATTCTTTCAAATTTTGTAAAAGGTGAACTTAAAATGAGAGGTCAAAGAAATAACTGGTTTATTTTCTTAAGGATAATTTTTAACATTTATATACTAATGGTTATGCTGGTCACTGTATGTCACATTGAAGGAGGGTTTTACCCCAAACATTTATGTTCAGTGGGTCTGTCAAGGTCCCAGGAAAGCTGAGACCCTTGAGCCTGATTAGCCTGTCGGAGCCCTCTGCAGGTGGTCCCCTGGACAGCATGCTGTACTGGAGTTTGATTTGACTGTCCTGCTTGAGGATTCGCGATAATGGACTCACTCATCAAGTTAATTACTCAGGTTCCCAGAAACTCACACAATATAGATCTTGGAGGAGAATTTTTATTATAGAAATTTCTAACTGACTGAGGTTCAAATATTGCAGTTGACAGTATACTAACTGCAAGAACAAGTGTGAAATAACTTCACAAAAGCCAGCTAAAGTTAGTCATTAAGCACATTAGAGTATAGCTCTTAGCCACTAAGCATCCCTATACCCTCAGGGAAGGGTCTTTGACCTGGGGTATGATTTTTAGTATTATAATGAGAGTATAATGAGGATAGTTCATCTAAAGGACACCCTAATCATTTTTTTCTACACATGAAGTCACAGGCAGCCAAGAAGGCCAACAACATCCCAGCCTGTGTCAGAAATAGTGTGGTGAGCAGGACTAGGGAAGTAATAATCCTGCTAAAACTGATGCTACTGAGGCCACACCTCAAATAATCTGTTCAGTTTTTGGTCCCTCACTACAAGAGAGAATGAGGTGCCAGAGCAGGTCCAGAGAAGGGCAGCAAAGTGGTGAGGAGCCTGGAGCACAAGTCTTATGAGGAATGGTTGAGGGAATTGGGATTGTTTAGTCTGGAGAAGAGAAGAGTTGGGGGGATGGGGACGGGACGTTATTGCTGTTTACAACTACCTGAAAGGGAAGGCAGAGAGAAGAGGCAGATGGTCTCTTTCCCCAAGTAACAGGACAGGAAGTAATGGCCTCAAGCTGCACCAGGGAAGGTTTAGACTGGATATTAGGAAAAAATTCTTCACCAAAAGGGCGATCAGGTATTGGAACAGGTTGCGCACAGAAGTGGTAGAATCAGTGTCCCTGGAAGTGTTCAGTAGCCATGTAGATGAGACCCTTAGTTGACATGGTTTAGTGGTAGACATAGCAGTCCCGGGGTAATGGTTGGTCTTGATGATCTTAAAGGTGTTTCCCAACCTAGTTGTGATGTCCATGTGTCCGGAAGTACTTGACTTCAAGGGCAGTCATTCCTTATTAGAGGTTCATCAGTCCTGTTTTCCTTAATCCACCTACACAAGGCTAGAGCTTCCTTTCCCGCTATCAAGTCTCATAAGTCAGTATTGTTCTCAGGTCTCCTAACCTTATAGGAAGCGTGTTATCTGTTCAGGCATTTTCACAGGTTACTTAACACAAGTTAAAATTATTTTACCTCTATGCCTATGGAGCTTGAGTGACTCAGTCACACTCTTTGTTACTGATGGGTGTAAAATTCCCTTGCTTTGCTTTTCATAATGCAAGTGTAGTTTGCTTGTTTGGCAGCTGTGTGCGGTTTATCAATGCATGGTGCTTTCAAGTTCCCACTCCTGCAGGGAGTACAACAGAGCCTGGCTGCGGGGCCTTCACTCCGCTCCACCCTCCGTTCAGTTTCTCAGCATATGCCAAGATTGCAGGGTTGCCTGGGGAACTATCTTCTGGGAGACTCTGTGCATGCCAACCGCATTCCATGCTGGAAGTAGCAGCTGCATTTTACCCTAAAATTTCCTTAATGTTATATTATAACTTTGGGGGTTTGGAGGATTGGTCTCTAATTTCCCCCATTTTCCCACATAATCCACACGGTGACTATAGTCACTCAAGCTTCATAATATTTAGTCTGATTAGGGATGTCTTCCGCATATATAGTATGTGGATTGTCATGCATGTACACATTCTCCGGGGGAAAGTGATAAATGACTCACTTTACAATAATCCAGATTCTAATCTACAATACAGTGATGAAGAGCAAAATAGTTAATATCAGTTAGAATAGCAACAAGGTGAAGCATGTTGTTGAGAATTCCTGTAGCAGTTGGTGACCATCCAAGAAGAGTTCCCCACTGGTGTTCTGCATCTTTCTTTGCTCATTCCAGCACATGATGTATTTCTTCTGCGTCATGATAGACAGCAATTAATCTTTTGCCAATTGTCCTGATCTTGCTTCAGCAACCATTTCAGGTCTTCATATTGTAGCAATTTTCTTATTAAATTGAGATTCATACCAATAGGGGTAGGCAGTAGGTCTTGAATTAGCATCTCATCAGTCAGTAAGATGTGACAGGAGCTGAGTAAGTGAAATCACATCCTATAATCTCAACAAAATTACAAACACAAATAGTTGAGTGATTGTTTGTATTCCAGGTAATATTATCTTTGTGTATAAAATCACAGAGTTTCCATGCTTGTGCATCCTTTGCCAATACATACAATTACAGTTTCAAAGTTTTCATTAGGATGTATTTCAAAATGGCAAACATTCTGTTCAGAGTCAAGACAAATGTCTTGAGCTTTGAAGGTATTACTCTCAAATAAATCCTTGCTGTTTGCACGCAATGCTTGAATGGATATTGCCATTTATTTCCATCCTTTGGGGCCCATGCTCTAGGGGATAGAATATAGCTCCATTGTGATTCAGTACTAACAATGATTGGGTATATAGTATAAACTGAAGCATTGTGTATAGTTAACACAAAAGCTGTGGCCATGCTGTTGATGGGATCGTAAGTAAAATTTACTAAATACCACCAGGACTGGAACTTTTTCAAAAAGTCAATTGCATTATCCCAAATTACTTCCTGAATTTCAGTGGGTAGGGTACCTTCTTCACCGTCTCATATCTTTTACCAGTGTTATAAATGTGAGAGACAGTTTGGTAGGGGGCTGAGTTAGTGAATATGCTTGTTCAATATGAATCTTGAATTGAATACCCAAGCTCAAATGAGAGTTGAGTCTGTCTAGTGACACATTGTGAGTGCTGAAAGGGGTAGTTTTGAAGTATACCAGCATTCTTGGAACTAGATGATCTTAAGGTCCTTTCCAACCCTAACCATTCTATGATTCATGTCTAAAAGGATAGATATGTACACTGTCTTCTCCTTCAGCATAGTTTACAATAATGTGGAAGACTGTCATGCATTTAGTGTGCTTTTCAATTCAGCATCCTATCAAAATGATGTCTCCTTTAATTACCCTTAAAGATGGTATTTGTTGATTTTTTAAAAATTTTTTTTTTTTTTTTTATTTTCACTTGCATAGTCCACTCTTGCCTGTAAGAGGTGATGTTATGGTGTAGAACTACTGCAGACAAATTTAGACCAGGCTTAGGCACGTCTGGAAGTATGTACATCTCTATCCATGGCCACAAAAATGTCACAATTTGCATTTGACAATCACAAAATCAAACAATAGTTCTACATTACATGTTCCCCAGGAACAAAATGCAAGTATGTGTAAAAGCAAAATAGCACCAGCAATCTGATTCTGGTATTTCATAGCAAGACTTCTTGTTGTTACCTGGTTTAGAAAGATTAGTATGATATATTTCAATGGCTTTTTCATGGATTGATCCCTTGATTGCCCAGCACCCTTATTTGTATTTCTTCCTCTGGCATTGCTTGGAGTGCTAATGCTTCAGAAGTGGTACTTAGCGAGTTATGTCAATCTTTTTTATGTATAGTTTCTCCCACTTCTACTCATGCTATGCATATACTTCAGTTCCATGCACAAATACAGTGGCTAAGTTTAAGTGTGTTTTACTGGAATGTAGCTTCAAGTGTACTAAAGGTAGGCTTGGGAACATGGCCACTCTAGAGTTTTCAGGCCACAGGTTACAAGAGCCATCATTGCCAGCACCTGGAATATTAGCATGGGTGCAGCATTGCTCTTTGTCATCTTAAAATTTGGGTTTCCAGCTGACCATGCACTGTAGAAATAGCACCACAGCTAAAATAGATGACATATTTGTGTGTATGCATTCACGGTTGGTATAGGCTAATCCTTCCATCCATAGGCAGTTCATTCAGGGTTCCTGCAAGAAAAAAGAGATGCCATGTGCTCGGTTGAAAATACAACCGGCGGGTGTTAGTTAAGAGGAGGGTAAAATCCATCGGGTACTGATCCCATGTACATTTCCTGAGTAATTCCTAGCTTCCCAGTCATAGAGGTTCTTGGGAGTGATGAGTACCATGGGCACTGTCCCAGTTTGAGGCATCTGCACTGATACAGATTGTCCAGCATAAAACCCAGTAGGGTATTCCCTAGATTTAGTGGAGACTTTTGGAGCAATTGTGATAGTGAATACAGAACAGGCTTTAGTTTTTGGTCAACTATCTCCTCCATCTGTTGTTTAGTTGATAGACAGTTGACAGATAGGCATATGGCAATCACAGGTGACGCTCAGATTCATGAGTT